GGATGTGGAAATGTCTGAGCTTAAGTGCTTTTTTTTCTTTGTAACTAAGTTTTAGCCCAGGGGGTTTCCCGGAGTATATATATCAATTGGTGGCTCTTTCCATCTAGCCACTTTACTATGCTTGCAACTATAGTTTTGTTGTAATTGTAAAGGATTGTTTTATTTTCTGATTAACCAGGATTGATTATTGTTGTCCTTAGGACTCAACACCTAGTTACAAGGGCAGAGTCCATTGTTGTGTGTGAATTCCCTCTGTTTTTTCCCAACTCCAAATAAAACAGAGGTTGGGGCAGGGGGAGAGTTTTACCTTAGGGAGGAGATTTCCCAAGTGATTTCTTCCGTGTTTTTTTTTTCTTGGAATTAGTTGGGTGGTGGCAGTGGATTCCCCAAAATCTGGATACTAGGATTTGGGGGGAAGTTTTTGTACCAGAGCCTGTAGAGGCAAGGTTTTGGAGTGCTCCTGAAGGCCTGCACGTCTGCATTTGTCGTGCTAGAGTGGGGAACAGCCTTCACAATAGGAAAACTGATTTCAGTTTAAAAAACGGTGTTCTACTAACATGATACAGCTGTGGCCAACTGAAATTCCTGAGTGACTGATAGCTGGGTATGAGCCCAATCTTTGCAAACTCCAGTTAGCTAAAAGGCCGTGCAGTAGGAATGCTGAGAGAAAGCAAGTATGGTCTCTGTCGAATATCTGACTCAGCCTGTTTCGTGGGAACTATACCCTGCTTGCCAGGGGCAAAGTAGAGGTTTCCCATCTCTAACGACTCTACATCTACTACTCAGTATTTCCAGAGCTGGTTGAATACATGGGCTGCTCTAATTATAGGTAAGGAAAGCAGCATCTTAAGATGGCAGATTTAGCCCATTCACCTCTGTTACAAAGGAAGGGCAGTGTGGCTAAATCTGCCACACTAGACATAGGAGGAAGAGGGTGGCATGTGGAAATGCTAATTTGTCTTGAGCAGACTCTGATTGTGTCTCCTCTCCTTTATCTGAAGCTCTGTTTATCCACAGAGCTTCAGATATGTGCCACCCCCTCCCCACCCCAACACACTTTTGGGGTAAATGAGACTGGGATCTCCATGTACACTCGAACTATGGAAAAGCTTTGGCTATAGCAGCATATTATTAACCTACAGGGTCAACAGGTGTGCAGATTACTGCTGGAGCCGATAAAGAGCTGGTTAGATCAGACATGGAGGTGGAAAATGTCATCTTGTTTAGATACTGAAGAATAATGCTGCCTGTGACTACAAAGAGTTGAGAATGAGAGAGAGATCACAAGGTCAGAATAAGGATCGATATTTTTTTTTCTTCAGGTTAATGAGCTATTAGTTAATGGGAGTTGTACAGTGTTTTAGTCAGTGCAAGATCTGGCTCAAATGTGTCTCAAACTTGCTACTTTCTGGAAAGAAAGGAGTTGGGAGACTATCCCCACTAGGGATGTTAAATTTGATTAACCAGCTAATCAAGTGGTCAATGGAATTCCCATTGACTACTCGATTTAGTTAAGGGTTGGAGTGGGATGCTCCCTATCCTGGCTGCGCTTCTGCCTTTTAAATGTGGTAAGAGCCACCTGCAGCTCTTACTACATTTAAAAGGCAGAGGCACAGCAGGGAACTTGGGGCAAACGGAAACTGCTGGAGTCCCTGCTCACCCTGGGTTCCCTCTGTGCTTCCTTTGTCTTTTGAAATGTAGCAAAAGCCCTGCAGAGGTCTTGAGTGTGGGGCTCTCACTACATTTAAAAGGCAGAGGCACAGCAGTTGGACAAGCAGGAGCGGGGACTGGTTCAGTCCACACTTGAGCTATTTCCCACTGCACCTCTGCCTCCCCTCGCCTTCCCCCTCTACCCCGTGGAGATGGCTTCTTCTCCCTCCCCCTTACTGCCTCTGATACAGAGACAGCGTGTGGGGGGGGGGGGGAAGCAACTAGTTGACTCGACTACCTGCTTACATCCCTAATCCCCACCACCTAATTCAAAGTGTCTTAAATAAGTCAGGAGCAGAAAGCAAAGAAACGGCTTATCTAATGGAAGGGAGTTAGATAATGAGTCTTGACACAGAAAACTCATTGGGGAAAATGGAAATAAAGTAGCGCAAAGTCTGGTACTGCACTGTAAAAGTACTAAACTGGGGAATGAGCTGCAGGAAGTGGTGCATAAAATTCTCAGAAGTGATCATCATAGTGCAGATAAGATTTTAAAAAATGGGCCATGGGATAATATCCTTTACACAGGAATATATAAAGTGATCCCTTAAGGTGGCGTCATGGTCTTTTTTTTAATAAACAGTGTTTAAAAGGAGTGAGATTTTTATTTGTAGATGGGGTTGGGGGAT